ATAGAAGAAGAGATAAGTGGTGGGTTGGTGAGATTCATAGGATTACATACCTAGGGACATCTGCTGGGCTGCCTTGCAGCTACTGCTGCTGCCCTATGAGAGCCTTGTGCAAGCCACCAAAGAATGGCTTTTACACCCTCATCCAGCCTCTTCTTTTTCCTTCAAGCCAGTCCTCCCCCTCTGCCTGTACCAGTCAGCCTGCTCCCACTGTAGGCTACAGGCACCTTTCAAGCCAATGAATAAGACAATGTTATGAACATAATAAAAAATCTGGCTCAGAGGCTGCAAACATATTGAACAGTCCTCAGTCATCTCCAGTGTTAGAGAGTGCTAGGGCAGCTCTGCATAGGTATAAAATATAAACCTACATTATCAGGACCACGTTGATGCAATTGCACAGAAGAGGGCATAAGCAATAATAAAGAGTGAGAGAGAAGGTAAGGATCTGAATGACTATTTTGTTCAATGTTCTTCATTACAATAATTATCTGGACAAATGAGATACATCCTTTTGAGGGTTCAGTTCTAAAATTAATCTCATTTTTTGTTGCAGAGCAGACATTTATTTACGCAATTATCCTGGTTACATCACTGTGGACTTCTCTTGAACTGTGCATTGCCTCAAGCTGAGAGACTACAGTAGGCACTTTCTATACTTCCCTGATATCTGCGCTTCTTCATTAAAAGATAAGAAGCAGAAATGTAGATTAAGCAATCTAAAAGCAACTTTCTTCATTCTAGAAAGTAACTCACATCACACATTGACCCCCTAAAGCTGTACCCTTTTGGCATCGCTTTATCAAGCAAGATGACCATGCAGCCATATCCTGCCCACCTTGGGTAGAGCATACAAATAAAGAAACTGAGAGTGGGAGAGAGGAAGATGGAATGATACATCTGGCTGCAGAAATATTCTTTCTGCTGGAAAACAGGTACAGTCATAGGGAAGGAGAATCCAGTTTATCTCTGCAAATCCAGTTCATATAGGATGGTAAAATCCACATCTCTGAGACCACACAGTGGAAGTGAAGGCTCACTTCTGTGCTGCCTTCTATGAATTGAAGCTGAGCCTTTCAGTCATCTCAAAGCTTTTGTTAGAAGACACAGTTCAGCATCCTGGAGTGTATGTTCCTTCCAGCATTTTGCATGGTGACTGAGAAAATAATCACAGCCAAGGCCTCAGAAGTCTATTACAAGATGTATTTTATGTCAATTATTTGCATACAGTAGATAAGGTGCAGTAGACTACAGCATCCAAAATATTTAGAGCAAAGAATACTGAAATGTACCTCAGGTGCCCACATGTGGATAACAAGCCTCCTTAACAGCACGCACAGGCATCGATGTAGGCTTCAAGGAAGTCAATGGTGCCCTCTAAAGGGAACTCGTGATACACAGGAGTGCTTGACAGTTGTAGTACCCATGCCCGTACAGCCACGGAATAACCCAGGAAGTGTTTCTGAGTAATAATTTAAATAATTAATAAACCGACAAAATATAGAGTCATTAATATTCCTTCTGAATTTGGGAAAGACAGCCTGGGCGAAGTTCAGTTTTTTTCAAGCATTTACTGTCTAGGGTAAGAAGGCATCCTTGTCCCAAACCATGTTGGGAGTAAGACCTCAGATCATGGCTCAGAAAAGAAAGGTACATCTAATTAGCAGGACAGACTGCACAGGTGAAAGTGGGCCACGATCTATTTCATAAAACTTTAATCTCATCTAAACAATTCTTGCCCAAAGAGGTTGTGGAGTCTCCCTCACTGGAGATATTCAAGAACCATTGGATGCAATCCTGTGACGTGTGCTCTAGGATGACCCTGCTTGAGCAGGGAGGTTCACTGAGATGATCCACTGTGGTCCCTTCCAACCTTACCCATTCTGCGAGTCTGTGATAACACAACACAGAGCAGGTTATAAGAGCTACTCAGGAATGAAGTGCGTGAACGAACAAGCACCACAGAGCAACCAAATCTCTGTAAGCAGCGCTCTGTCTTGGCCTTAGCTATCAGGAGCCTGCAATTACTCTGCAATTCACTTATAAATTTCAACATTTTCTCTCTCAAGAAATACGAAGTACCTTGAACAGCAACACATACTTTGTTTCAATTTTCCAGTTGAGCTCTGGCTGACTGAACCAGCCAAAGAACATCATTTGGCCAGATCAGCAAAAGAGCTATTGATCTCCAATGTACCAATGCAGATCTTATACATGGGTATAGATTATTTCAGGACAAGAATCTGCTTCCCAGGAAGAAGCTTCCCTCTTGCATTGAATTCAAGAGGCACCGCAATGCTTTGCTGTTCAGAAAGTAAGGAAAATTATTGCCAGGTTTAGTGATTGCCACTCATTAAAATCAGAATTTACTTGATTACATTTTAGAGGAACTCTAGACTTCAGAATGTAATTTATAACTGAGAAGACAAAAATATTAATATTGCTTAAAATTAAATATTTCTATTGAATCTTGTAAACGTTGCTTATGCTTTAACCATGCTTTCTTCCCCTCTGGACTGCAGGAATGTATCATGAGGATGCTGGGATTTACCAGTCAAAGCAAAGTTACATCCTTCGCTTACAAAAGTTACATTCATGTGCCAGCACATGCGGTGTATCCACTAGAAGTAAACAAAAAATCAGAGAGACATGATTTTTAGAAGACATTAGAATAATCTTGGGAACATTTCCATCCTAGATTTATGCTTTTCATCAGTAAAAGAAATTGCACACCACTCATTCCAGAACTGCAGTTTAATTTAATGCCTTTTTCATTACAATTTTTGAGACTTGGATAGAGGATGCCCATACACACATGAAATTGGGAGCAGAGCCTTATAATGTGTGAGAACGTGGAAATTCCCAGTCTAACTTCCACCCCCAGCCAGTATGATTTGGAGAAGGCCATTTGTACCTCTCATTTCCTCAGAGTTTCCACATGGTTGTCGTGAGGCCAATAGAAAGCATGTTGAGACAGAAATGTCTCTGAAACCCCAGTGCTGTTGTTGTTCCTGTACATGATGGGTTATGAGACAAGGAAAACCATGTACCAGTGAAACAAATGCTTGCTTGTTAAATAAGGATCATTCCCCAGGACTTGGGTGCTTGGTTTGCACAGGCAGTTTAAGACTTGGTTTTGTGCTTGTTTCAACTGAGAATTCAAAGCCAGAGTTAGCTTTACAGCAAGAGGAAGGTCAGGTATGGGAGTTTAGTTGTGCCCTCTGCCAACCCGAACACGATTTCCTCATGCTGAGTACTAGTAATTAACTGATCTCTAGTGAATTACAGCACCTGCGTTATCCATCCTCACTACCATGAGAATGATTAAGCAGCAAACTGTGAAGCTAACAGCTTGTTAGAGGCTCTGCAAAACACAGCCTGAGTCCCACGACTCCCAGTATATCACAGCGTAGAGAACAGTAATGGAAACAAGAACATTGTATAAAGGGAAAATGACTAGAAAGGTCTGGAATATGGGAGCAGCAGGAGGATTGGCAGAAGGGCTGTCAGAGGCACTCAGATTAGCAGGTCAGCAAGATCTTCACAGAGTAATGTACAGCTTTTTAGGTTACTTGGAATAGAAGGGGTGGCCTATACCCAGACTAAAACAGACAAGCCATTGAGGGGAGATGTTGGGAAGAACAGGCTGGAGCTCTTGGCTGTTTGGAGAAGGTGAGAAAGGACAGTGAGGGAATCCTAACGACTTGCACAGGTGGGTTAAGATGGATACAAATTCACGGGGCAGTTCCTAAAGGACACAGATGGCACTTCCAATCCCTGGTCAAAAGAGAGACCGGAAGATTGAAGAGAACTTATGAGCAGGCTCTTGGCTGCTGTGAGGACCCCTGTCCAGGCCAACTGGGAACACACACCTTTGTGCCTGGTTACTGGACAGACTGCTTGAGCACCAGCACCTCAGTGCTCATGTGTGGGGTGTGAGCACAAGCGAAAGCAGTTCCAAAATAAGGGCACTTCCCTTTCCGAGGAGGCCTCCCCTACTCTCTTGCAACATTACTTCCACCTGCAGGTGAGAAGAAAAACAGCACAACACAGCTGATAGAGAGCTCCAGAATGAGGAATGAAACCAAGGGAGAGGAGATAAAGGGTACTTAGCGAGAAGATAACTGTGATGCCTAGGGGATGAAAAGCAGAAGTCTGTTCAGATAGAACAAAGGTGTTCTGATGGTTCATCAGAACGAAAGACATGGAAGCAGCAAGGAGTCTATGAAAATTTGAGGGAAAGTGCAGAAAGAGGGTTGCAGGACAAAGGAGGATTCACAGAAATGATGGCAAGATGTCCTGAAGGCAAAGTTTGAACAAAATGTTTCAGAAAACAGGAAGATGGAGAAAAAAAAAGGGTATTGGAAAGATAAGCATGCAGGAAGCAGGTATTGTGGAGGGAGCTGAGTCAGGATTTGCATCCCAAATACAATGTTGTCATATTCAAGGACAGATGGGCACACAGGAGGTATCTGAGGCAACTTTGTGCAAGTAGAATGAAGGGGCTTTGTGCAAAGGATTTCCACTGGAAGGGAGCATTAATACCAGTGGAATGTGGCAAGGATGACAGAATCACAAAACAGCTTTGGCTGGTACCTTGGTGGGTCATCTGGTCCAACCCCCTGCTCAGAGTGGGAAAGAAAATAATACATAGGAGATAAAAATTCCCTTACATCTTCACAGATATAAAGTTACGCCTTAGCTATAATGCCAGAAATGCATATCCAAAGTCAAACCTTCTCTATAGTTGATGTTCCCCTGTGGAAGTAATGTTCATTTTACAGATTACTGGAATTGCTACTATACCTCTGGGTTCTTTGCTATGAAGCACAGAGGGTTTTATTGCATATCAAAAGGCAGCAAAGAACACACATGACAATCAACCTGTAGCTTGCTCTAAACACACATGCACATATGATGCACAGCTGACACTAGCACAAAACAAGGATAGGGAAAATATTTCTCATGCAAACTGGGTTGGTGGTTAATCAAGTGAATCGTACCTTTTAGAGAGGTATCCTAGCAACCCCCCAGCAGTCACAAGTCCTGGCTGACGGTGCACACTGATGCAATTGTTCTCCTCCTGCAGACATCAAAACTTTGCAGCTAATCAAAGAGATAATTCGAAACAGGAGAGCACGTTAAATTTGATCCAACAAAAGGGAATTTTATAAATGAGCAATGTCACCTGGGGCATCTCTTATGCTTAAAGTTGTCATCTTGGAACAAGAGTAGGTCAGGTTTAGCAAAGCCGTGCAACGTTGGGAACAAAACCTCCCTTCCTGCAACTGGCAGCACGATTCTCCTGAAGGCACTCACTTCTGCTGCATTGATTTTTGCAGGTCGGTGCTTCAGAGCACCATGCAGAATTTATTACTATTTTCTTGAATAGCAAAGGCTTACCTGAAGCACCTTCTAGAGCACAAGTGTCAGCAAAAGCCCTGCTGATGCTCTCATAGCCAGATGTCCCACTATGTTTCCACGATCAAATTCATACTCCTAACATGCCAGATTAGATATTCTTTCACATTTCCTGACATTTCGTATAGACTCAGGGCTGGCTGGAATAGACCTTCTGTCTCAGGACCAGCAATGAACCTGAGGCTACCAAGTAGCCTAAGCTCATCCTCTGCAAGTGTCCTCATTCTGGAAGCATTATAAATTTGCATTTTACCTCTTTAGGCATGGATACAAAAGGCAAAGCAAAACCACAGACATAGGATTTACCAGCGTTCTGAAAAATCACCTTTTTTTTCAGTCTTTAGCTAAGCCCAAAGATACCACAGAGCTGAGAAAAAAATTCAATATGTTTAAGCATTTCCTAGTTCAGTTTTCTTACCACCGTAGCGTTCTCCAGGCTTCAGTTCAGAGTTGTGAAGGGCATCCCAAGTTCCACTCTGATGGTTTACATTTCTTCTGGACCACAGAAGATTTACTACACTCCCCCCATGCTCTACAGTTCATCTCCTCTCTCAAAAAGAGAAATCTATTCTTAAAACTTCCTGTTTTCTCTGTTAGATGAGCTCTGACACTTGCCTACTCTCATCAGATGCTCCTCAGATACTTTTCTTTGATGACCACCCTCCTTGGGATCAGAACTGGATGACCAATTTTCCTGGGGCAGTAATAATCTCCCTGAATATCTCACTAAAACTGTTAATCAAACTTTAATGACCCTTTCCTGTTGGAATGGAGGAATTTCTCATCTTTGGTGGTTCAGAAGGAAAGCAAAACACAGCAGAAGTAATAGCCACACATTTAAACATCAAACAGAACCTACAACTGGATATACACATCAAATCAAACACAAATCATCAAAGCTTTTGTGACCTACTTTTTATTGCACAAGTTGAATTTTTTTTTTTTTGCAGTCAATCAAGTGCTATTAAACACTGCCACCACTAAAAGCAACATGAAGATTACCCAGCTACAGTACCCAAGACCAGGGGTCCAGAGGACTAAAGGAGATCAGTGTGCCCAGTTGTAAGGTCTACAGACCCTTTTAAGACCTTGCAAAATTTTCTTCAGTGAGTAGAAAACTACTACTCAATAGCAGAAATGCTGCTTACAGATGCTAGAAGAATCAAAAGGTTTCCTCCCACTATCAGAAGATTACCTCTCAAAGTGCTGCCTTTATACATTTTAATTATAATGGTATCTGTATACCAGTAACTCTAAAAGTAGAAAGTGCTGCAGGAGAAGAGAATAAATAAGCTGTAGAGGTGGACAGCAATGAGGGGAAAAGGAAAATTATACCTGTGATACTGTTCCCAGCAGATCAATTTCTTTTCAGATTCCTAAAGCAGATACGTCTTTTATTATTTGTGCAAGTCACCGCAGTATTTGCTTCAGGAAGTGTCTGGTAACAGGATGTGAAAATTTGTGAACTCAAGAAGGGGCCGATAATATAAAACAGCTTAGAAACTACACATTTGTAATTGAAGCAGCAGGGCACATCAGTTCAGCATGATATTAGAATTTGCCAGATGTTAATGAGTTGACGTGCAAAGAAACAAAAACCAACCCATCCCTCCATACACACGATCCTTAATAACTGCAGCAGCTACATCATTGTTTTATGCCTTAGAATCCTCAGCCACAGGAAAGAAAAATAAACAACCCACCCCCTCAAAAGTATCTTCAGGAGCAAGGCACCTTCTTCTAGAAGGGCAGCAGTCACCCACAAGTAGGACAAGAAGTTAAGACAAATAACCAGCCACTCACAAACACCCACAGTGTCTACTCACAGACTTTTCCTACCTCTTATGCCACAGTATTCCCCCCAAAGAAGTCACTGCAGTAGAGTAACACAGATAGTTACATTCGCTGTTGCCAGTCAGAATTGTCCTGATATTCTGACCATCTGCAAGCAAAATGAACCTGATAAAATCTGTAATATTACAATGAATATAATTGGGACTGTAAGCAAGCAGGTGAACATGAGCTGCTCTTCACTACTGAGAAGTCAGAACAGTCCCAGACACTGGGTCTGGATCTGTGACTAATTTTCTTTCTGAATGGGGAGCAAACAAAGTGACTGCATGATGCAGACACCAGTCTTTCTTTTCAGAAAAATCATTGTGTTCAGAGAAATCTTGACTCAGAGCATCTTGAAATTATGAGATTTCTTCTCTGTATTTTAGTATGTTTTGAATCAGGCTCATAGGGATCAGAGAGGCATTTCAAAATATGTTGTTCTAGTAAGGAATGACCTTCAGCTTATTTTCTTGAATGTTTCTGCTAAATCCTTCATTACCTACCTTTTTCATTTGTGTACACAGCACCAACCAGTAAATAACATCACTAGTAATGTTACTACCAGCTCCTTCCCCAATATCAAGAAACAATATAAAAAGTCAGAACTTTGTACTAAAGAGGATCTACACACAAAAAATTTACTCAACTCATTTAATAAAACCATTTTGTTAAAAAATTACTTAGTAATGATTGGAATTTTACATATAAAATTCAGAAATTACAAAAAATGGTATTGTATAACAAATATAATCTGTATAAATGAGAAGACTTAGACACATTTGGTAGTAAGGTCCACAGAAAACCTACACAAAAGAGAAATTGGCTGTTCCTGAGTTAATTGTGCTTCTGTTGATGTTATGAGATAACATGACAGCAGCGTAAAATATTCTCTTTCTAAGAGAATTTGTGCTAGGGATGTCTCTTCTATCCATTTCATGACTGATATTACACATGCCTTCTCCTGGCACAGTTAAGTGGCTCTCCAAATGTGTGAGAAAGAAAATATCTGAGGCCTAAAAGAAGTACTCCAATTGAAAAGCAGTGTATTGTGAGCAGCCTTCAGGTAAAAAAAAACCAAACAAGCACTGCACCTCTCCTCTATACATATACCCATTTATGCAAATTATTCCTTCATAAGGCTTTACAATATATCTGACATCTTTCAAATCTGTATCTAATAAATATTACATGAAAATAGTTTTTCAGTATTTACATATGAAACATATAAAATATGATCACTGTAAGATTACTTCTTCGATTTCATCTTCTAAAGAACCAAGGGTCTTGACTCCTGGCTTGCTTGTAGTGTATTGCAAACGGTGTCTGTTTAGGTTTCTTCCTTCACCAAAAAGCTCATTGTCTTCTTTTACTTTGAGTTTACTGTTTTTATCAGCAAAAGGAGTATTACTAGAATCCCAATCTACATCAAAAGGTGGTGTATTGTTATTTTTAGAGAGAACAACGGTACTGGCACTGCTTCCAAAGAGTTGTTCCATTAAATTGGACTTCTTTTCTTTCTTACTATCGAAATCTGCATCTTCCTTAACATTTTCTTCTAATTTGTCACTTTTTTGAGTAAGCCAACTTGGTCTCCCTGATCCTTTCCCAAAGGAAGGTACATAACTACCAAATGTTAACTCACAACTTAAATCTACAGTCCTTACATTTTGTTGCTTCTGCCCTTGAGCTCTTGTGGCATCGTCCTGGCTGTCCTTTACAGAAAATCCATTAGTAACCTTCCCTGGAACCTCAAAGAATGGATTAGTTTTTTCCTTCTTCTCCAGGGAATCAGATTTTCTTGCTGTATTTATGAGTGGTGCTTGGGAAGTTGGTTTCATGTTTGCTGTACTTTGAATTTCTCTATCAATTTCTTGCATTTTAGCAAGCAGGAACTCTCTTTTTCGCCGCTCTTCCAACATTTCAGGGCTTTCACTCTCTACTTCAGGTTTGTGGATTTCTGCCTCCATCTTCATTTTCTCTTCTTTAACCAATAAAAAGTTGCTTTCTTTTTTCATTTTGTCATATTCTTTCCTTTCCCACTCTGTGAAAAATGTTTAAGCAATATTTAAAATGTTTTAATTGTAATGTGCCCTTAAAAGATTTTGAAAATAATGCAAGCAAAAGCCATTGATTTTTTAACATGTTCTTCTATGCACAATGTGGTTTTCCTACTGCAAAAATAAATTCTTCAAAAATTACAACTAAATCCACTCCTGGTTCTCTGCTAAGTATAAAAGTCTATTGTCATCTTCCAAAGGCATCCAGACATTATCCATGTTTTAGAATTTTCAGAGCAATTTAATTTCTGCCAATTGCCTTCCCACTTCCTGGGTTTGAATGAAAATTAATACAACATTACTCTTTTTAATAGTTTTGACTTGCACAGTAGTTTAGTTTTGTCATCATCACTGACATTAGGCTGGTCCTGGGATATATGTTTGGGGTTTTTTTTCCCATAAAGGTAACTACTCCTGTGAAGCTATCAGATCTCAAAGTCATAGGAGTCATTACCTATTTCAAGAAGTGAATGATTTAAAATATACTGCATCCACTGCATACAGAAAACACCTTCACACAAGTGTCTGTGCATCACTGTGTGGACTCAATGAGAGTGACTGCGCACAGCTATGAAGGGACACCAAAGGTGTAAAACAGTAACAAACTTATAACCAGAACCTGTAAATGCTTATGTGTAGAAGAAAGAGGAAGCTTCTCAAATATTTCTCTTTTCAAAATATTTTTCTATCAAGACAACAGACATGTATTTGGCCAAAAGTTGAATATGACTACTTGGCCCCTGCAACATACTGGCATTCTCCTTTCAACACTTTACTCAAATTTCTGACTTCTGTTTTCATGGAGTTCCATGTTATCTACTGTAATTCAGCTCAAGTTTTCAGAAATAACTGCAACAGTTCAGTTAAAATATTTAATAAATACTTTTTCAGTAGTATATCATTCTATCAAATTAAGTGAGGAGCTACCTTTCTGTCTGTAAGATGGGGAAAATACCAGCTTATATCGTACGATGGGTAAGGTGGTTAAATCATCCTATTCAGAGACATAATAGAGCAGATTCTTAGCTTATGTAAGTTGTGTTAGAAGATTTTCACAGACTTTACCTCTGAAAACAGCTACAGATTTTTAGAATTTTTGTCATATACAATAAGTGCTACTGTTCATTAACTATAATCACTGAAAGAGTTCTTTAACATGACAGCGTGAAGCCCATCTAAAATACTTGAGACTGACTTATGAATAGAAGTCATTAAGATGCTGTGAAAATCAAGTGAATAAAAAAGCAGTATTAAAATATAGAAACTGACATTTTTCAAATAGCCACAACAAATGATTCAGATAACCAAAACTGAAAAGAGAAACTACAATTTCAAATTATATAAGTGAAGTAGATATGTACTGAAAAAATAGGCTATATTAAAGAAAGCAGATTTGTTCTACAATAGTAAAAATCTACTGCCTACCTCAATAACATTTAGCAAGTCAGAGCTCACATCAGCATTTACCTGCTATCTCATTCTTGTTTTGTAAACCAAAATCTCTTAAGATTGCAACGCTTTTTTGTGGACAGCATTTTTTGCTGTTGCATACTTAATTGCAGGACACAGATTATTCTATATCCCATATTTTTTCTGATTCTTCTTTGCATAATATAACTGAAAATAATTTTCCACTGTAGTGATCGCTGCAAAATCATTTTGCTCTTCTCACCAGAAACCAGCAGCCTCATTTGATTAGTATGCTATGGTGCATCTTTCAGCCTTCAGCTGCCTCTTTCCTTACCGTCATGAAGTTTTGAAACTCTCTCCTCTAAAGCCTGCATTTCCTGAAAATATTTCAGTTTCTCTTCCCTTTCCTTGTTTTGGTCTTGTCTTAGGAGGTCTGTCTGCTCTTTCCACCCTTTGTCTCGAGTTTCTTTTTCCTGAAACACATTAATACAAAACCAAAACCGATGGGGAAAAACAGTCAATAAAACAAACAAACTAACAAAATCATAAGAACTTCTATGTCATTCTGAAATCACATCCTTACTGCTACACATAAAAAAAGTAAGTTACCCTAAGCCAAATCAGATTTGACAACCCAGGGGTTTGGCCCCAAAACATCATCACTTCTAGCATTGTTTTATACACCTGAAACAAAATGAATAGACAGTCAACTCTATTCTGTATTACACATTTCAGGAAAGCTGCAGCTCCAATGTCATAAAGGAAAATTATCACTGTCAGGGTAGTTTTCTTTAGAAGTCAGAAGTTGTCTTCTTTAAGGACTTTAACAGAAGGCCAAACCTCACCACCTTATTCTCTCAACAAGCAAGCAACTAGTGACCCTCTACTTCCACAGTCTGATCTTTTTACTCAAGCAAGTGGGTTGTAGATTCAGGCAGTTTCTCAAATTTTTGAAGTATTAAGTAACAAACAGTGAAGGAGAAAGATTTATTCTTGCATGACAAATTCAGCTAGTGAGTATACATACACATTTAAAAGGAAGGAACCTGCAGAAAAGATAGTGATTTTCACTGCTGATATTAATAATACAGAAAAGTAGTGGCAATGAAGTGAAAAAAAAGTCAGTGTAGTCCAACATGTGGAGCTAACTTTGTAGGTTGTGCTCATTTTAGAGCAAAATAAGCTTCTAAATTAAAAATACACTTCTAAGTGAAATAGTTACTACTTAATGAACAAAGAAAATATGACTATTAGTCAAAAAAACTTGAAAGTATTTTCCCTTCATGTACAAGATTATCATTGTTATATTAAAAAGTATAAACTACATAAGGAGATGGTAGCCAGGTATTTAAAATGCTTCACTTTAAAAACTCATTACCCAAATCTAATTTGCATTATTTAAAGCAATAACCATATAGAGATCATATAGTTGGATTTCATGAGTCCAACTGCACTTGTACCAACTGTATGGTTTTGTAGCTCACACACCCAAGTATATATTGGAATAATATATACATTAAACTACATTCATAGTTACAGAAAGGATTTTGGAAGAGAGAATATACAAATGAAACAGCCATGAAAAAGTTTCAGCCCTAACTGGAAGCCAGTCAAGACCATCCTCAGAGCATTACTTCTGAAAAATAGTCCTAGCCTTATTTGTAAAATTTGTACCAGAATCTGGCTCATTCTGATCTTTAAGACTTTACAAATCTCTTTGATTTTAGCCTGGGGTCACAAAAGTATTAGCAATACTTCTAATAGTACTATTTTTATAATAAAAAGGGAAATGGAAAAAAAAAAATTCCAAGCATTTTGACAAAGCTGGAAAACTAGAAGAAATACCAGCACTGTGACAATAAGAGGAAGTGTTAGATTTATGCATTGTGAAATAAATCTGGAAAGTAAAAGAAACCATAATTAAGACCAAAGAGAAAAGAGAGAAAAGGCAGCCATCGCTGTTTAACAGATTGCTCAAATAAGCATCAGAAACAAAGAAAAGGGGAGAAAACAAAAATGAAGCCTCAAAAACTTGAAAGATATAACAGTGGCAGAAAAAGAAGCAAATTGAGTTAGTGGCTCAAGACACAGAATATGATAAACTGTCACAAAAATGGAGTATGATATTTGTAGAAAGGTAGATTTTCTCTTAAAACCCAGAATGTTTTCTAAATCATATTTTCTATATATTTATATTTGTATATTTACACATATTTTCTAAAAGCTCTGCCTTGAATAGTCTGATAGGTGAATTATCTGGAGCAGGTCTCAAATTTTTATGGAACTCACTATTTTAGGAAGAATTCCTTCTTTCTTGTTTACTGTGTCACCACAGACAAGTTCTGATTCCGGAAGAAGTTCTGGTGGTGAGAAGTATCCACTGGTTTGTACACCTTTTGTGAGGTGTGGTCCTTTTTTAATATTTTGGTTGTTGGCTGTAGAAAATACAAACTAATTAAATTGTGGTTTTGCTCAAAAATATCCTGCTATATACCTATGTCTCATTTTTCATGATTTGCAGTAAACATAAAAGACTGTATTGAAGTCAATGGAAGTGAAAAGTATTGACAAGTTTCACACAGTTGTTTTAAGCATCCGTAAAAGCTAATTATAAAAAAAATTATAAAAAAATGCATGCAAAAATTCTACTGGAAAAAATAATTAAAAAACCACCTTAAAGCTACTTATAGTGTCATTACAGTATATTGAGTATTTGTTAAAAATCCCCACAAAATATGTCACTCATCTTACTGCTTGTCACAGAAGCAAACTCATAAAATTAAAATTCACTTATTTGCATCTTTGAAACATGCACACTTATCTCGAAGGAATAACATTTTAAAAAATCTGAACCTAAAATGGAATAATAGTAGAGCATCTATAATAAAATGAGCAGTAGACAAACTGTTTGAAATACTGGCATTAAATATTTAAAACAGTCTCATAAATTTCTGCTGCTTCTGACAAATAGATTCTACTGATTCAGTGATAATAGCCCAAGTACACACATAGAACACACATATTTATGTGGGTAGCATAAGGTTTGAGGCTGCCTTTTCACACCAGAAGAAATCACGGTACTGATAATTTTAGAAGATTATGTTCAGGGACATATGCACCCTTTGAGGGTGCTCATATGACAGACAATAAACTTGAATCAGTAAGAAATAAATAAAACAGATCACCAAAATATTCATAGCAGTGAAAACACATATTTTTAAAGCTTCTGTAATTTATTGTCAAGTGAACATTACCTATGATCTATCAGAGATTTACTAACAACCTTCCCTTCTGCCTTTAGCCAAGAACATCTGATATGAAAGGAGTTAAGTCTCCTGTTTGGTAAAGTTCTATGTTTTGGTTCTGCTGCAGTTATAGAACAGTCAACAATCCATGTGCCCTCCTTTGTAACCAGTGCTGTGATGAAAGCAGTGCAAAAAGACAAACGTTCCTGAACAAGCAGCACCAGAGTGAAATTCCAAGTGTCACAAAAGGTATAACCCAGCTGAGTCATTTCAAAGTGGTGCCAATAATTTTTCTTTGTTGCTTCATAAAAGTTACCTCTTTTTCTTTGTACAATATCCATGTCTTTTCTTGGTGATAGCTTCAACATACGATTAGCATATATATTTTTTGCTTCAAGTTCTCTTTCTTTTTCCTGTGAATGAAAGAGGTAGGTATAACAATGAGTTACTAATATTTCATTTACTAGCCATTAGCAAAGCTGTACATTAAATTAAAAATACATATTGTAAATAGAAACAGAGTAATCAATTGTTTCACCCAATGTTTTAAGGATAACAATCACATTCCTAACCTTGTTTATGCTATAAAAAAGCAGATAGAAATTTCTCCCAAAAGAAACTCATTAGCAAAATATTAGGGAAAAAAAGCAGCTCTGCAGTGAAAATAAAAGTAAACACCAACACTTCCATAAACACAAAGAAGACTTACAATGTGTCTATAGATTGCACAACTAAATTTAAAGTATCATAAAGAGTTAAACATTTCAATGCAAGCAATACTTGTCACAGGGCACATCAGTATCAGGGAGTGGAGGCCCATTGTATCATAGAGCGAGAGGCAAACTCTTCTTTTAGCACATTTATTGACTAAAATGCAGAAATGAGCAGTGACATCATCTGACAATGAAAATATTTGCAAACTATCAAATTCTCCACTAACAAACCAGGTTTAAAATACTTACTCTAAACAAGTAAGTTTTACAGCTACTAACACTATTACTTGCTTAATAGCTAGGAAGGTGGTGAACTAGTGCATCTCCAACATGTTTGAGACTTGGAGTTTCAAGGAAATTCTCCTAGAAACTAAGCACTTTAGCTCAAGTCTTACTTATTTTTTTATTTGTTTTCCCCTAAAGATAAACTGACTGGGTAGAATATAACAATATTTTAAGTACTTTAATTGAGAATTTGGGCAACAATAGCTGGGGGGGGATGCAAATAAACCTTTGCATAAATTTAGCAACACATGAGGACATAAAAAATACATGAAAATAATCTTTACACAAATCTACTGCAATGCAAGTACATTAGTAACATAAAGTACTGTTTATGCCTGCAGATTTAATTTTGAATTCAAGGGTTCAAAACCTAATTTTCCAGTAGATTCTGTGGTTTAATCTCAGTGCTTGGTTATGTACTCGATCTTACTTTTCTTAACTAGCACTAACAATAATGATTAATGTAGAAACATTCCTGCTGTAAACACTGGAGGGTCAGAGCACAGAACATTTCGATTTAATGCAGGAAAAGAACTCACACGTGGTACATAATTAAGTACCCATCAGAGACTGCAGTTACTGCTAAACTATTCAAACCCGATTGCAGATACTTCCAAAGATAAAATGCCAGAACATGGTTAGCAACTTCTATTCCTTCCACATTTTACCTTCAGCTTCTGATTTAGCTGATGAAGCTCTTCTTGGAGAACTCTGTTTTCTTCTTGAGCCTCATATAGCTTTTTTTTCTTTGAATGTAACTCTCGTTGAAAACTGCTACCACTTAACTCAAGATTTCTTTCCAGATCCTTCAATTAAAACAAAATACTATTTTTTAATAACCGAAGTACTTTCTATAGTCAAATTACTTAAATAAAATTATAGTAAACCAGTGTCTTGGATTTAAATATCAGTTCCACCACTTCTGTAACACTGAATACATTTAAACCCTTAATCCTAACTTTCAGGGGGCAGACAGAGCACCTGCAGATGCTGCAGCTCATCCTTCTGAGTATTGAGAGGTGATTTGAGGACATAATGGGAACTCACACTACTTTCTGCAAGGCTCTTGCCACAGTAGACCTCTGTGTCTCTAAGACAGATCTCCAACTGATGAGTTAGACAGAATCCCTCCCTCAGAGTGCAGGATTAGAAGGAAGAAGACAAAAAAGAATTTTTAAATTTTCAACTAGAAACTAGCCTGTGATTACGATTGCATTTACATACCTTTGTCTTGCAATAGATATTTTAAGTGAACTGTGTTGATGAAAGAAGGAAAAAAAAGGACAAGAAAATCCCTTTTTAAAGCATGACTTATTTTAACATGATCTAGTACTACAAATGCTGAAATACCTGATCATAAAACTACAGATAACAGATGGTAACACTACAGGGTGAGGTGGTTTGGCTAACTCAGTGGTTTATATCTTTGTACTTTGGGATTTATTTTACAAAAGGTTAGTTTCCAGCTTAATCCTTTGGATTTTCAGATCTGTTATCTATATAATGTAATTTAGGTTTGATTACTAATACAGACAAAAAACTTTAACTTAATTTTAATGACCAAGATAATTTCAGCTAAAAATAGAATAAAATTTATGTACTATGTATAAAAATATCTAGTATAAAAACAGTACCACTACCAATAGATGTAATAGTGTTAACACAATTTTTAAGCAAGAAGAGTTTATAGACATATTTACAGTGTAGACACACTTAGACATGTTTAAAAAACATAAACATTTTGACTGGACAAAATTAATAAAATATATTGGACAAACTTCTTAAAATGCATATCCATAAAATGTTTTAAAGATCATTTCAGTATTTAAAAAATGCTCTAATTTTGTTCAGCTGAGCTCTTGGGTGTGCAGAATAGTGGACAATCAAACACTGCATGAATGCTGTTTAAAAATTGAAAAAGAATTACTATATAGGTTTTTTTTTTAGAATTTTAGTGTACAGTTCCCTAAATACTCAGAAATTTTTAACAAATGCTTCCCCTCCAAGAGGATAAATTAGATTGCATAGAGTTGTATTATAACTGCATGCACTTCTGAAATATTATTATTAGTTATAAAAACACTTAAAAGCACAAATCCACAGGCTATATTCTGAGAAAATACACTTAATTTGTAAACAGAAATTTGAATGCACAACTACCAAGTATGTAACTATATAATCACCTTGGAAATAATTTACTTGATTCTACTTCTGCGTAAAACCAAAAAATACTGATTTTCTCTTTGCTCCATGACTGTGAAAAATTACAATTCATTATGGTAAGAAATATCTGAAATTTCTTACAAAAAGAAAGTCATCTCACCTTAACTCTTTTTTCCCTGTCCTCTAGCCTGCTCTCTGCATTGGCTAGTTTCTTTGCCAGGTCATCTCTTTCGGCAAGGTGCTTATCTGCAGACAGCTTTTTCAGTTTCTGCAAGACAGTTTTTGTTCTGTACAGTTCATCTTCCGAATCTTTCAACCGTCTCTCAGTTGCACGTTCTCTCTCCTGAGATTTTCGCAGGCGCTCCCTTAATATTCTAATCTCATTGTTGTGCCGAGCAAGGAGCTGAGAGATTTCGTTTTCTGTATCTTCGAACTTATTCAGGGCTTTCTCCTGCCTGTGCTGAAGCCTCTTCAGAGCCCTGTTTTCCTTCTGCAGCTCATCTAGTTTGATGTGGAGTTCAGTCAGTTCATTTCGGAGCTCATTGATTTTCAGCAGCCTCGCAGAAAGAACTCTTTTTGTAACAAGATCTATATCTTTTGCAGGAGAATCCCTAGTGAGGCTCTGAGAACGGAAACCCCACCGCGTCCCTCTCTTGCTTGGTGCATATTTGGAATCCAACTTCTTTGTGGCTAAGAGAGAAAAAATAAAAAGCATGTTTACTATTAGACAAGGCAGTTTGTCTACTCAGGCATCCTTCTTGGAATCAAGCTCTGCCTAAAACAATTTTTCAATACTTAGCAGAGATGGCAGATTTCAAACCAGATAATAAAAGGCATATATATGATAGACCTATGTTCCTTTTGATAGCCAAAAAAATGGAGATCTATGTCTGTGATCTACTGTAAGAGGTAATATTTGCAGCCATTAACATAGGACCATTGTAAAGTAATCATCTACAAATCATATCAGAAACAACAATCATATTTTGATATTGTTTATTAAAATGGTTTAGAAATAGGATACTATAATGCATACGAAATTATCAAATGCTTTAAAATGGCAACAATTAGCTAATCACTAGCTAGTTATGTATTATGAAAGATGTAATTCTCCCAGACAAATGCAGTAGTATTTTCAAATCCAGCTGCCGTGCTTACAGACAAAACAGCAGATTTCAAAGGCTCAATGCAAAAAGCCTCCAAAGCAAAATTACAAATCCCATGAAAATTCAGTTCTCTTTGAATAATTTATTCTTGTATCACAAGTTATTTTCCACACAGTATTCTCATTTGATTACTTGTATGCACTGCTCGCATTCCTATTTGGTATTATTATTTTATTTCCATCCCCATAGACAAAAGCTGAACATTTTGTTTCTATCTTATTTGTCTCTCAAGCCACACTCAAAAAATAAAGCATATAATCCACCAAAAATATCTCTTAAAACAATTGAATTAATAGAGATAATTCATACAAGTTTAATTCATTAAGGTACCTCAGTGTTTGAAAGAAATACGCTGAGCAGCAGTTTATAATTCCAGCTGGAAAGCTGGGATACAGCAATAGTGCAGTTACCTATACACAGACAGTGAGTGCGTGTGACAGCAAATTCTTCCTCCCCTTTGGCACTCAGCATGTTTCTCTAGAGAATACTTTTCAGCAAAAATAACAGCTTAAAAATATACTTTTATAATTTCCTATAAAAATTTCACACAAATGCTCATTCATTTTCTGCTTGATGTTCATTTTTTCCACAGCTTGGGCAAACAAAAGAAGGTGTGTTTTTTTTCCTTTACAAAGAACACTTATGTCATACTCAGGTGTGAAAAGATTATCTAATACATGCACTGCGGGAATGATGCCACTCCTACCACCAACTAAGGGAATTCCCATTTACCATAAACTTCCAGCTCCTTCAAGAATTTCTCCATACTTAGGACAAATTTACCGTGATTGCACTTTTGATCATATAGTTAAATTCGGGCATAGTGTCTTTCAAGACAACATAACATGACATTCACAATACCTTCATGTAATAATTATGTTCAATTCTGGTTATGTAATCAAAGAACTGGTCATTCATTTGCCCCCTTCAAATTAAATAGCACAGAGGAACTGCAGTTCTTGTTTTCCAGCTAACCCATGACCACTATGGAGAAGATGCCACTTTGGAACACAGAGAAGCTCAGCAAAACACCAGTTGCACCAGGACACTCACACTGGTGAGAATCTGAAGAGATCCACTCCCTGGGCAAGTTCAAGACCTTCTGGCACAATCTAGATCATATTATTGACCAAATGATTCATACAGTATCAAGCACTTACAAATGAACTGGGACACTTGCTCAAGTAAGGTAGGACATGCTATGACTTCACCAGAAAATGCATACAGTTATTTAGAACAAGCTGTCAAAGCACGGCAGAAAGCCTTCATATCCCTATTTCAGCCCAGGACCTGTATAACCATTCTCTTCTTTTTTGCAGGGATGTTCACCTCCCCAGTCAAGAAAGCAGCTTATGTCTGTGAGGGAGCTCAAAGTGGAGCTATGTCACCTCCAATTGGAAATATTTTACCCTCAGGGAAGGAACAGGAAAAGCTTTCTTTTGAATTTCTACCTGAACTTAACTGTCGCCAAACCCAATTTTCTCTCTTGCCACACTGCTGGTCTTCATTTGTTTGTTGAAAGTTGTTGTTGAAAGCTCAGTCAACTAGACTTCCACAAGACAGATATCTTTAGGTTATCTCGTCAGGGGAGCTTTAATAATTGTCTCTCTTTTACAGACTGCATAGTAAGGACTTCCCTTGGGTCCTTGGCCTCGAGTTTTTTGTCAAAAAGAAAAAGCAAGCATCAGCATGATGCAACAAAAGGCTACAATAAAAGCCACGTTCTCTTGTTAAGAAAAATACGAAGAATTCTGAAAATCACCAACACCCCTCCTTATGCAGGAACAGACCAATTTCAGTTTACAACAGAGCAGTTACTGTCTACCTGCCATTTGTAGTGTTATTCACATCAACCCTACTTGTAGATCCTCATAATGCTACTTTCCCACTTTTGTTTCAGTTTTCAAAGGTAATTGACTCTTTGGAGCAGTTACAAAGCAGCAATTTCTGCTATCTACCTACCTTGGTAGTGCACAAGGCTGTTTGAAGCCTGTGTTTTGTGATGTCTCTTTTCTTGGCTTGTAGATGGAGAGCTTAGTGCTGGCGACTGGCTGGATGAATGAGATGCGTTACCTTCATCTGAATAATAGGAGTCGCTATTTTTATCCTCATCTGATTTCCTCTCGTGTTCAGAATCTGGGCTCCTTACTCTTTCTCCCATTTTTCAGATTTTACAGCTTTCTAGATTTTTCTCAAAGACTGTTCATTTTGGCACAAAGGATATTTCAGTTGCCACAACGGGAGCAGCTGGATTATTTCCTTGGGTTTATCATCTTCATCTCCAAAGCATGAGATCGTTGCAGTTCAGTTCAGTAAGCAGTAGTTATCTTTCAGAATGCATTTCTCTGTAACAATTTAGAGAGAGAAAAAAGCAGTGAGAACAGTGTTCCGCTGTTAAGAAAGAAAGGTAAAAAACCTGTAAAATTATTCAGGATTCTTACAACCTTGTTACCTTAAGATATATATTCAATGTAACAAACATCAGTCTCAGAATGTTACTATTATTTTCAGAAGACTGAGGCTCTTCAATCCCAAAAGAGAAATCAGAAAATTAACACAGAATTCAGAAAATTAAATAAGAATAAGAATAAGAATAAGAATAAGAATAAGAATAAGAATAAGAATAAGAATAAGAATAAGAATAAGAATAAGAATAAGAATAAGAATAAGAATAAGAATAAGAATAAGAATAAGAATAAGAATAAGAATAAGAATAAGAATAAGAAACTACTCCCAGGCTAGATAGAGGAAAAGAAGCATTTGGGAAACAAAATAGAACACAAGCAAAAGTTTGACGTTATTCAGGAAACTAATTAAGACATGTTTTAAAACTTCCAAACCAAATGAATTAACAACTTATCCATGCAGCTAGAATTGAGATATTGGAAGAATTTGACTAAATCCTCTATTTCACAATTTCTGACAATCCAATGATGTTAAATAATGGGCTTGAAAATAATTGTCCCATTTATCTGGATTACCTTCTGTCCCCAACCACTAATGAGACTGTACCTAAATATCACAATCTTCACCCTGGAAAGTACTCTCATACCCTTCAAAATCTAGTGCTTCATGCCTTTAAGAACTGACCAGAGCACACATGTTTTATATTATATATATATTTTTATATCTGATAAGAGGGACTACACTGCTGGTATATGGTAAACAGTACACCTGCAGCAGGTATAAAATGAAAACGGCCCCTCCTGCAGCCTATCTTTTGATATAAACTGGAAAAATCCCATAATCTCAAGGTGAAATCACTTCATTTTTTATTTTTGGAGACACTTCCTGAGAACGTAATGGAGTAAATACATTAAAAATTGTTCTCACCTTCTCAGTCAAAAGAATTCTCTCAACAGTTTAAGAAGTGTTTTACTGACTACGCTCAGCTTCCCAGGTCTTTTGTCTCTCTCAACACTCTTCACAGCTCTCAAGCTTATTTCTCTGTCTTCAATCCAACATCAAGCCCCTAATGGGTGAATAAATAGGCCTTGCACCAGAGCTCATCAGTTCTACCTGTTGAATGACATAAGCTCCTAGCTCGTTTCTAAATGACAAAGCAAATTACACACAAAAAAACTGAGCAGCTTTCAATCAAAACTGCTCTACGCTGCAGGACATTCAACACACCTGTAAATGAGCTGTAAATTTTTCACTGTATTATTTCCCAATAAAATAAACTTTGCCTGCTTCTCAGCCTTCACTGCCTATACATGCAGAATTGCATAGCCAAGCAGAACAGAAATGTCAGCTGCCAAGACTGTTTTTGTTACAAATTCCAGCTTTCTGGCACGCTTCACTATTAACACAACTCTATCTCAAGTGACTGGAATGAATCCATTTGCCCTAATAATCTATACAGAAAGAATTAGAGGAATAAACATCCCATCAGGTTTCTAAACTGGGAAGCTGCTGGGAAATTAATACCGAATTACCTGGAAAAGAGTATTTTTCTTTACTCAGGGAGTAACTTTTCAAAATAATGATTTGTAAGCATCTAAACATTCTCAAAGTGGTCTAAATAATAATAATGACATGCCTAAAACTTATATAAAAGGATTCTGATGAAAACTAAAATTTCCCTGCAAAGCCCAGAAAAAAGACAAGCTACGCTTATGACCAACTGTTCTAGAGATTGCTAAACACATGCTTGGAAGGTATCAGCTATTGTGAACATTCAAATGATCTGTATTGACTGTTCTTTTTCCTTCTGAAATAATGGAATTACTAAAGATATTTCAAAAGTATAGACCTAACCATAACTGTATTATCTTGTCTAAGTGTAATCAAAACCCCCATACATTTACATGAGTGCAAAACTAAGATCATGTAAGAACATCAGAACATATGAAGGTGCTTCCTACTCCCAAACAGCTCCACTCCTAAGCCCTGGCCCCACAAACACCTGTGCAGAATATATGTTATTTTGCTCCTTGAAGAGCAAACTAATAACAAACTAAAACACATGCAGAGTTTTGGGGATAACCTGTTCTCTAGAGCATGCACAGACAAGACTACATCAGGCCTGTCGCCACAGGACAGAATTCCAGGGAACACAAAAAAATATAAAATAATATATTTGTATTAAAATACTAATATGAGATAAAAAAGTAGTACTCTGGAGGGCTGTAACACAGATCTCATATTCTTACAGTCACTGACTGAAAAAACCCCACATTAAAACTAGTAGTTGTTTTTGTAACCCACATGAAGTGAGGTGGTGTCATTGAAGCCACAGGCTTTCTTTCCAGCTAACAACATGGGCCACAAAACTTGCCAGACTTTGTCTGAACTCATCCTGGGTGCCTGGAGCTTTGCTACAGCTTATTTAGCTGCAACAAATTCAGTTAACAACCAGGGAACTTATCTAATTTGTTGTAGCTTTTTGCTTAGCTTTGTATACATTTATGTTTTAAAGTAAGGGACAGCAATAACCAGTAGTTATTCTGTGAAGAGGGAACAATCTGTGATCTACAACCCTTGCAAAAATGCACCATAGGGGGGGTACAGGCATGAGGTGACTGCAGGGCCTGAAAGTGCCAACACAGTACAGTGCTGGGGCCCTAAGCTGTAACATCTCACCTGTGCTTAATTCTGTGGGAGGCAGCCTTGGGAGTTGGATAAAACCCAGCAACATAGAGGACAAAGAATGAGTACTCAACATATGTAAAACACACTATGTGGAGTAAATTCAGATGTAATGTGGAACTGTGAATCAATGATTAGAATAGAACAGAACAGAATAAAGAGCAAGGCGTTGATAAGTGTGTTATCAACCAGTAAAAATGATCACAAATGGACACAAGGCAAGGAGGAAGAAACCATTAGCATCCTCCTCCTGCCAGGGAATGTTGGTGACTTACTGTAAAGACATCCCCTTCGCAGCTGAATCCAGTCAAGTCCCAGAGGATGAGTGAGTGAGCAAAGATAACACCAGAGGGTTTGGTACTAGAGTTTGTGACTGTATCACTGTAACCACATGTGGCTTGAACTGTGTTAGTATCTGGACTAATATTAAATCTTTGATTAGACCGCTAAGATTTTAATTAGACCAACGATCATTTGTTGGCTCTGCATTTGTGTTCCTTGTTTTGCTTATAACTGCTGAAAAAAACAAATTGGCAGGAATTCAAGCAACCTAGTCTCTTACTTGGACACAAGACTGTTCCATGGCCACAGTGGCACATGTGACATCCAGAGGAGTTCCAGACATATGGAAGGCATACATCACTGTTAGAAGCACCGCTACATCCAGAGGTGTTAACCTAGTCCTCCGTGCAGGCAGGGATTACTCTGTGAGGCAAGTACCTTCAGCAGTGTAAATACAGCACAGACACAAATTTTGTCTGCCTTCAGGACACAGAAGGATAAAAAGAAATCATCACACACAGATTTTTTCTTGTTTGAAAACAAATGGAATGGCATTTAGGGAAGGCATAAATTCCTATAGCTCAATCATCAAGATGTCTAATTATATATATATAAAACAAGAACACTCACTTTCACATATCAACTTAAAGCTGATCAGTTATTTTACAGTCCCGCAAGAGTCCACTAAAGAGGCAAGTCCACCACCACCACCAAAACCCCAGTCCCCTCTCCTCAAGACTCCATGCAGGCTTTTAGAAGCCTAAGGAATCGAGATCAGGTCAGTATAGAATGGCTGAAGTAAATATGGACTTATACAAACTTTAGAAAGAGTTTTGTTTCCAGAATTTCATACTCCTTTCACTTCAATGACTTCTATCTATTGCTATTATTTTCATATTTTGTATTGAAAACATGTTCATTATTACAAAAAACAGTTGAGCATCAGGCCACTGCAAAGGACATAGAACAGAGAACACAAACCAACTGAAATGGTGACAGGAGATTCTCTCCCTATTACTCCTAAGTAAATGACAGAAACAGAACCATTGGACTACAAGTATTAAGCAACAGACAGAAAGGAAAACCACTTAGTAATTCTTCTCTCACAGTACACCCAGAGCTTAGTTCTGTAATGTAAGACTCATAAAACTTTTTATGATCTTTTCAGTATTAACACCCTTCCAAGACCAGGGGACGCCCGGTGCTTTCACTGGTCGCCAAACGGCACTTCCCGAGTACAAACACTGACCTCTAACGGCCTCCTCAGTTCTTCCACCTATTCCGAGAGAGGGACAATGCAAGAAAGGCGGCTTCAGGTAAGTACAAAAGCATCAATCCAAGTTATTAAAGCGCTGAACTTAAGAGCAAAGAAAAACTTCAAAAGAAATTCGTCTCCCTCCTCTTCCTCCATCCATCTTTTTGATAACCAAATGCTGTATTTTTTCCAGAAGAGAGAGGAGCAAAATAATAAATCACATGAAAACATACTCAGTGATGAGACTTTAGTGAGGAGGAAGTATTTTATTAGGGAAGTTTTCTGCTGCTGTTGACTTAACTATGCATTTCTTCTAGGTTTACCAGCCTCTTACAGACTCACAGAATCAATGAGGTTGGAAAAGACCTCTGAGATCATTGAGTCCAACCTATGACCAAACACTACCGTGTCACCTAGACCATGGCACTGAGTGCCATGTCCAGTCTTTCCTTAAATATCTCCAGGGATGGTGACTCCACCACTTCCCTGGGCAGCAATGTCTTATCACCCCTTCTGTGAAGAAATTCTGCCTAATGTCCAACCTAAACCTCCCCTGGTGCAGCTTAAGACTATGTCCTCTTGTCCTGCATTTTGGTGAACTAAAATGCAATATTTAAAAGCCAATGTTATGTCTACCCGACTCTGTGTTACTTTCATCAGCTCTCAAAATGAAAAAGCTGCTCTAAGGCCCAGGTCAGGGATGAGGAAACATCAAACAGGGAATGTTCAGGCCAGTCCTACAACCAGGAAAAGAGATTATGTTTCTAAATCAGACTCCACCACGGAGGCCCACGCCGTCGCTCATATTCCCACCAATATCCCAGTATGTGCAGACTTACCTAGTTCAGCTTAGCCATCCCTGGGAGCAGCTCTCCAGTTCCCAAAGTGCAAGTGGGCAGCTTTCCTTCACTGAGCACAGAATACATCGAATGTTATTTTCAGTCAGCACTTCCTGACAACACATTTTAAGCGTAGTCACCGAATCGTACCCACACTAAATGACTTCGCAGGAAAGAGCCTGAATACTGGCGGCCCGAGACTTTTCGGAGGCCAAGCCCAGACCTAGGCCCGGGCCCGCTCCCAGCGCCCGCAGCCCCCAGGAAAACAACCTTCCCCCGCCGCGGTCCAGTTTCCCCCGGACGCTCTCTTCGCCCCTCGATGTCCCCTCCGCCCCTCGATGTCCCCGCCACCCGTCCCGGGCCCTTCCGACGGTACCTGCCCGGCCCGGCCCGGCCCCGCCCGCCCGGCGAACACGCGCCGCGGTTGCCGCGTTACGCTCGGAGGGCCGCGCGCGGCCATTGACAGCGCTGCCCCGGCAACGGGCCGCGGGGGGGGCGGGCCCTCGGCGCCAGCCATTGGCTGTTCGCGCCTGCCAGATCGGGCAGCTGCTCTTCCCATTGGTGAAGGGCCGCACCCGGCTGCTATTGAGCTGAGTGCTGCGGGCGGGGGGTGCGTGCGGGAGCTCAGGTCCACGCTGCCGCTCGCGCTCCGACCGCGCCGCAGGGGGCGCTGCGGCCGGCTGGCGGCGGCGCCGGGGAGACCTGGCGGGGGCGGCGGGCCGCGGCCTTACCCTGGTCTGCCCTGCCTCCCTGCCCTGCCTGCCCCCGCTTCTGCCCTCCCTGAGTCTCTCCTGCCCTCCTGAGTCGCTGACCTGTCCTACCGACACCGTCTTGGTTCTGTCGGGCCGCGTGTGTGACATCGCAGGACAGCAGCCGAGGGAAAAGGACCCGGGAGCACTGTTTGACAGCGGCTGAACATGAGCCAGCAGTGTGCCCAGGTGGCCAAGAAGGCCAATGGCATCCTGGCCCGTATCAGGAACAGTGTGGCCAGCAGGACCAGGGCAGCGATTCTTCCTCTATACTCAGCACTGCTGAGGCTGCACCTCGAGTGCTGTGTCAGTTCTGGGCTCCTCAGTTCAGGAAGCACATTGAGGTGCTGGACTGTGTCCAGAGATGGGTAACAAAGCTGAAGAAGGATCTGGAGCTCATGTCCTGTAAGAAGCAGCTAAGGGAGCTGAGGTTGTTCAGCCTGTGGAAAAGGAGGCTCAGGAGTGACCTTGTTGCTCTCTACAACTACCTGAAAGGAGGTCATAACCAAGTGGGCGTCGGTCTTTTCTCCCAGACAACTGGCCACTGGATGACAGGGCAGTCTCAAGCTGCACCAGGGGAGGTTTAGGTTTGACATTAGGAGGAATTTCACACAGAAAAGGTGATTAGGTTGGAATGGGCTACCCAGTGAGTTGGTGGAGTCGCCATCCCTGGAGGCGTTTAAGGAAAGACTGGACATGTCATTTAGTGCCACGGTCTAGTTGACATGGCGGCGTTCAGTCCTATCAGTCCTAGGCTGGACTCGATGATCTCAGAGGTCTTTTCTGTGATTCTGTTCAGGGAGCTGCCAGGGAGCATGGGGGTGGATGAGCAGCCCACCACAATGCTGGCACTCATTGCACCTCCTTACAACCCCTCCAGGCAGTGGGACTGAGGGAAGCCTTTGGGGGGACTCGGGCACATGCCAGCATTGCCATCTTAAACAGGTCTTAAAGCTTTAGGTCAGGGCAGCACCTGGGTGTAACGACTCGTTAGGGATGAGAGCAAAAGCAGAGAAAGTGCTCTCTGCTGAAATGTTTTTCTAGGATAGGAGTTAAAGAAATAGCCAGTATGACCAATATGTGACAGGTTTTATGCATAGGTACATGTATATCTCTGTGTGTGCATGGTGTAATTTTAAAGCAAAACTCCCCCAATCTAGCAGGAAAAAATGAAAGAGGAATGCTAGCATTCCAGAACTTGAAGCAAAATGGATTGTACTGACAAAAGGATAAAAGTACTGCCTAAAGTCAGCAAATACACTTGAATTCAAAGGCAGGCCCAATTTAATGAGGCTGTTGTGGTTTATTCCACAAAGAAGTAAGAGAGTTTCTAAACCTTGACTTTTATTACTCCAAGTTAATGTTGTATTTTTTTTTACCCTAATGCTAATCTTTGTTAATAAATGTAGTTAAACAAACTTCTTTCTAGAGAGAGGAAGGCAAAGGAAATAGCAGATCTTGCTTGCATCACTGGCTGATGGAATATGTTATGATGGCACAGTGATGGAAGTGACACAAGAATTTGGGTGGAGTAGGATAAAGCAGAACATTTGGTACGAAAATTATAACCTGCCTGCATGGGAAGACATAAATGGGACATTCTTGAGAAGAAGACAGTTTTGCCTTTGACAAAACTGAGTTTCTACAGTTCTGGATGTTCAAAATTAATGCTCACTGACCATTAAATAAAAACAATAAAATGGAGGAAACAGGAAAAAGTACCAGTTTTTTTACCATGGCAATATTTTCAGGCAAAACCCTCCAGTTTCTTCACAATAAAAATAAGGAAATTAGAGTTTTAATGCACTGGAAATTAAAATATTGCCATCCCCTCCTCCCCGACCATAAATTTTAGAAGTAAAAATAAAAAAAATAATGCTTGTGAAATAATTCAGAGATTCTCAAAAATTATGTGCATTGTGTGCAAGAACTCTGAGTATTCTTAATTAAATTATTTGAAAATGTGATTTAGTGAGTAGGCTAGAATGTGATCATAAAGATGTCAGCATAAACTCTTGTGAAAAAGAGGAGATAGACACTGGTATTTCAAAAGCAATAAAGTACGTGTGAGGCATAACCTGACATGGATTCTCCCAAGCTGAATGGAGCTCTTAATTTTTTGATCCTAAAATCCAAGAAAACAGGCATGAAGCATGCAAAAAACCCAAAACCCAGTCTATGAATTTCCTAATTTTGATTGTCTCCCTAATTGCACTGAATAATTTTGCTATACTTGCCTTAATATTATGAAATTGCTTTAAATAAACAAAAACTCATGTGGCTCATTTTTAAAATTCATCCTTCTGTGGCTTTGCATAGCTCACCTTTGTGCTAAACAGTTAAACCATATAATTCATCACAGCAACACTGGCAGAGAATCATTGATGTCCTTCAAAAAGATCCAGGGAATGACAAAGACAGAATAATTTTATTGCTTGCAACTGGAGGAAATGTACTGCTTGCATCTGGCAGCAAGCCAGGCCAGAATCTGAAATGCTGTTGCTGCTGTAAATAGGATGAAAAGGATTCATAATCCATCTCTATGCCCACCCTAGCTAGGAAAATTGTAAGCGGAAAAAGCAATTAAAAAACCAACCAGAGAAAGCATTACAAGACATATAAAGGACTTTTTTTTTTGTTGATAATTTATAGGTTAATTGCCATAACTAACCATTTGGGGCTTGGTTAGTAACTGACTAATGATTAGTTTCTGAATGTAAGTAATACAGGTGTTGAGTTCAGATAGTATGTATGTGGAATATAGGTATTGAATACAGGTATTGAGTCATACTGAAAACAGGCCTCTTGTTCAGAACAAATGGCATCTTATCAGACTTCTCCATCAAATGCTCCGTTAAGAATAATGCCAACAGATTTTAATCAGCTGCTGAGCTGGAATACATTCAGATATTGCAAAAGGTTGGCATAGGGATTAACTGATGGAAGTTTGTTAGTCTAAAACCTACAAATAATGTATTTTAGATATTGTCCTAACAACCTAACAGTTGATACAGTGCAGATAAATGATAATGTGGTATTTCAGATTCCCTTGGACAGGACAAACATATGAATCACCTGAGCAAGAAATAAAGTTTTGCAATTTTCTTCTGTCTGTGTAAAGCAAGTCTGATGTCTTAAGTGATTGCTTGAACGGGAAGGTCGTTGAAACAGAGTATGTAATTCAAAAGCTGGAGGGGGAAGTAGAAGGCTCAAAAAGAATATCAGCCTCAGAGCTTAACTGAGGGGAGGGATGTTTTAGAAAGAAGGGTGGAAGCCTTCAAAAACTAAATCAGGCCATAGTGTCACACAGATTGATACTCCCAGAGGTACCAACAGGGATAAAGGCCCCAGGCTTATTCAGAGTAGTGGAACCCACGCTCATTTAATTGTCATACATAAATATTGGCGGGGAATCCCTGATGCATAGAGAAATTGCTATTGATTTCCACTGCACCACAGCAATGGCTGTACCACATGGGGCAGGAACTGTTACAATGAGTTTGTCTAATGTGATGGATACAACAGATTCCCTGAATTGCCAGAACAAAGATGATCAAATTTGGAAGGGGAAAATCTTCATGGTATTGCTTTCAATACCACAACTTCTTGAAGAAGTGGTGACTTAAAGTACGCATGGAAATATAAATGAGGGAGCCAAAGTGACATACTCCTTGCTTTAAGCAGGAACACAGCATGGTGTGAAAATTCTCCATGAGATTTAGGTTTAGACACTCAGTTTATGCAAAAGATCAAAGGCTGGTGAAAACTATCAGGTTGAGTATGAAGTACCAAAGAAGATCCCTTTTGGATCCTTGAGCCTTCACGTTTTCTGATGCTTTCCCTCAGAACAGGCTATATGATACTGCCTTGCACCCTAGAACAAATATGTATCTCCCCGCACATATACCTAAGGTGGTATTTTGCATTCACACTGTAAAAAAATCTTTGTTTAAAGTCAGTGAGTTTATACTAAAGAGATTTTGGCTCAAAGCAGTTCCACAGGTCTGGGTAGCCAGGAGTGCTAGTTCAGGCAGCTGCTCCCAGTAGCAAGGCAGATATTTAGAGAATAGAATCACAGCATCATTTAGGTTGAAAAAGACCTTTAAGATCATTGAGTCCACCCATAATTTGTTCCCTCTCTCCACTGCTGTAAAGGTGGCCTACAAGGTCAGTAAGATCTCTCTATTAGAGCATGAGTATGGATATAGTTATGGTTCAGCTGAAGGTTTTTTCCTTAACATATATTGTAATATTCTCCTGTATACAAGATACATTGTGTATGACCACACACCTCCCTTTGCTCTCAATTATTTGCAATCATATAATCAAAATATGTCAAATTCTAATACAAATAAAATTAAATGTCAGTCTGTTTTGATGTTATAAATATTCATGGTCTCCTTGTAATGTGTCAAAATAAGCTGTGGTTTTATTGGAGGCCAGCTGCTTTTCTTACTGTAGGTTCACTGACCTTGAGAAATGAAAAGCCCAAGATCACTTTCAGAGTTTGCCTCCCATGCCCTGGGACTTGAAGGGATCCAAAACCTTTCCACCGTTTCTTTTTGCAAGTGCTCCTGAGTCATCGGCTGAATAGCAACTGCTCACCTTTTACAGCTTAGTGTTATAATTCCTTGAAACATGTCTTCTGGTGTCACTTCTCATACTATGACAAGTTGCAACCCCCTCAAGGGGGTTTTCTTGAGCATTTTCTGACCGCGGTGGCATTGGAGCTGCTGCAGTGCACCTGACACCTCTTTTGTGTCTCTGACAGGCACTGGAGAATGGACTTCCATGAACTCAGCTGAACTTGAAGATGTATAAAAGATGCATTGGGCATTGTTCATGGGGATTTTCTTTTAATAATACAATTTTCCAAGGCTGTAAAATATGGAAATATTAAAGGGAAAGCATAGTGCAGTGAAAGAAACATTTATATATACTTTACGGTACTAGTTGATTTCAGAGATTTTAGGCATTTATTATAATTCTTTGTGTTAGTATACCTGCTTGGATTTTGAGCTCACAACTGCCTTGTGGAGAAATACCAGATGGATAACAGAAGTGTTTGCTGGTGAATCACAGGAATGTAATTTACAATGTGATGAATTAACACTTCCACATAATAAAATGAGGTGCTCCAATACTACAATATGAAGTTTTAGTTTCTCATGTTGTCTTTTAGCAAGCGCCCAAATTAAAACAAGGTAATTGCTTATGGTCCAGCAACAAGTAATTTATAAGCAATTTAAATAACAAAAAAAAACCAGTAAAGCCTGGGAAGGTGGAGAAGATGCTGAGCAAGTATTGCATGTTTGATTAGAAAGAAAGTATTTGAAGGAGACATTTCAGTTTAAGGACATCTCTCTTTGGAAGACATATGCTATTGGGAGGAAAATTTCACACGT